CCCCAAACATTGGCCCCCTCTCTGTCTGGTCCGATCTCGACCTGGCAGAGAAGTTCATTCGATTCGCTTCGGACACATGGCGACTTCCTATTCGTGGGAAAACATAACCATTGCGATGGATTTATCATCGGAATATTCAAATATTCCGACGCTTCGGATCTTCGGGAGGATCCTAGCCGCTCGTTGATTACACGTGTACGGTGGGGAAATTTTCCGACGAGCTATAAATACCCCCAACCCTTTAGGTCATACCTTACGTTTCCTGAATTCTTGGAGTTCGATCTGAAGGCAGCTCGAACCCTTGGTAGGTTGGTCTCTTCCCTCACTTTCTCTTTCGAACGTAGTTGCCATGTCGTCTTCTTTTAGCAGCGACTTAGGATCTGATGAGGATTTAGCTCGTAGGTTAGAGTCCGAGCTCGAGGAGATAGAAAACTTTAGGTTCTCCGACGACGGGGAGGATAGTGATGCCTCCACCTCGGGTCAGCGTTTGGAATACCCTTCTAGGATACYTGAGCACTACCTCGGATCCCTTCGTAGGGGGTTCGCTATCCATGAGAACRTCCTCCTTAGGATTCCGGAGGAGGGGGAGAGAGCTGACAATCCTCYAGAGGGATGGGTYACTCTCTACTTCAAAATGTTTGAGTACGGCCTCAGGCTTCCCCTTCACCCTTTTGTCCAAGAATTTCTCTTCCGAACTGGGTTGGCTCCGGCTCAAGTGGCCCCCAATGGGTGGGGTGTCATTTCGCTTTGGCCATCCTTTTTTGGCTACGAGCTCGGGATAGTGAAGAGGTCGAGCTGTTGGACGTATACCAGCTCCTCGCGTGCTTCGAAGCGAAAAGGATAGCTAAGAAGCCTGGTCGGTTCTATATGTGCGCAAGGAAAGGCGCAGGCGGTATAGTTAAGGGGCCGACCTCCATCAAGGGATGGGTGAGGAAGTGGTTCTACGTTTCTGGGGAATGGCTTGCAAAAGACGAGTCAGGTCGTTCCTTCTTTGACGTTCCCACTAGGTTTGGGAACCTAGGTACGGAGTAGTTCTTACTTTTTGTGATTTTCTTTCCTGTCATTCAGGTCTAACTCGGACTTTTGTCTTCGTGTAGTTTCAATCTGACCAGTCCCCGAGCTTACGCAAGCCTCCTTCGACACGCTGAAATATTACAAGGAGCATTTTCCGAGGGGTAGGAAGGTCGGAACCTTGGTGACCAACAAGCTGCTGCTTGAGTCCAGGCTGCTAGATTACAACCCTGCAGTTCGTCCCATTGAATCCTCAAGGCCGAACTCCGAA